AAAAGTACGTAGGTCCAGTATATCTACGTCGGAATACTTTTTTAAAGTCGTTCTTCAGTTGATTCATCCTGTAATGGATCAATAAAAAAGAGACAATCAAGGAAGCTGTTGAATTGTTTGAAAAAATGGCTGAGACCAGTGCTAGCTGGCCATCTGACAGAGTGACGCTGAAGAAGACTTCAAGACTTCTAGCGGTTGATATTATATCAGCAGTATCTGCACAAATGGCTTCTATAGAGAAGAAGAAGATGAACTTATAAAGAATACTCAATCGGTCCATGTAGTATAGACACCTAATCCCATATGTGATGGTTGTGGGAAAAATCACAGAATGTCCTTGCTCAGTAGTTCAGCAGCTCTAATGAACACGCTTGCTATAGTAGAATTATTCACATCAACAGAATAATCCATACTTCAAAATGTAATCCAAGTTGGAAGACTCATTCGATTTTTCTTGGAGTAATAATCAAAATCAGCAGAATGCACCAAGGCAATAGTCGGATTTTCAAGGATAAGAGAAGAAAGCAGGATAGGAAGAAACAATAGCTCACTTGGAAATTAGCAATCTCAATACATGGAAAATAATGATGCTGTGCAAAGCCATACTGCAAGTCTAGTAAATTTGAAGAATCAAATAGGCCAGAAAGCCAAAGTTACTTCTAGAAAGATCGCAAGGTACCCTGGCTAGCAACATTGAGGTGAATCCAAAGGAACAAGTCAAGGAGATAACTACCAAAAGCAAACTTCAGCTACCTGAAATCCAAGTAAAGAGACATGTTGCTGTCAATGACAAGGTACTTCCACTGGCAATGAGAAATTGGAATGGTTTGAACAAATTCAAGAAAAGAATTCAGACACTCCATGGGTTAAGTTAACTGTTCATGTCAAAGCGTATACCATTTCTGAAAGAGATTACAAAAACACAAGTTAGATAATCCAATCACAAAATTCTTAGGATTCTTTAAGAAGTAGCATATTAGTATCCCATTTGTCGATGCCTTAGAACAAATGCCTGGCTACACAAAATTTATGAAAGAGATTCTATTCAACAAGCGGAAGCTAGAAGAGCAGGAGACAATGTCTGCTGAGGAATACAGTGCTATCTTGCATAATAAGTTGCCTTCTAAGCTGAAAGATCAGAGTTACACAATTCCTTGCATTATTGATGATATTTATTTAGACAAAGCATTATATGATTTAGGTGCAAGCATTAACTTGATGTCATTCTATGTTTACACGAAACTAGTCTAGGGAGGCAAAAGCAACTACAGTACATTTATAGTTAGTTGGCTGATCAATAATACATCCTAACAAAAGAGGAGCATTTTATGTTGGTTAACAAGGAATTCGTATTGATTGAATTGAGATTGTACATGATATTTACTCCTAATTTATACACAAAAGTTAAGCCAAAAACAAAACTGTACAGAACATTGAAAAACAAAACAATACATACCAGCTATATGGTTCTCTGTAGTCACCATCATAGACTTCAAATATAGCAAGCTGCACTATTATCTTTATACATCAGAGCCTTGTTTTTCCATATAAAACCAAGTCAAACTGATATATGGGAACCACAACGTGTAGCTCTACCTCAGAAATCTGTACAACCAGATTTTCTTCCGTGTTTTCTCAATACTCCCCCTCAAGATGGAGAAGCTACAGAGTGGACTCCCATCTTGTTCAGCAAATAATGAAACTGTCTAGATCAGATTGCCTTGGTTAAAATATCAGCAACTAGTAAATTTGTAGAAATGTGAAATGGTTTTAATAAACATTCTTGGATCCTTTCTCGAATAATGTGATAGTCGATCTCAATGTGTTTTGTTCTTTCATGATAAACAGGATTGGATACGATGTAAATGTCGGCTTGATTATCGGAAAATAACTGAACAGGTTGGTTGAGAGTTATACCAAAGTCTTGTAAGAGGCTTCGAAACTAAACCAATTTACATGTGGTAGAGGTCATTGAGCGATATTTAGCTTCTACTGATGATCGGGATACCGTTCTTTGTTTCTTTGACTTCCAAGAGACCAATGCATCTCCCAAAAAAATGCAAAAGCCAGTGATTGATTCCTTGTCTCCGAGCATGCTCCCTAATCGGCATCACGGAATACTGCCAACTGCAGCGGCTTGTTGGCTGGATAAAATAAACTCTGTGATAAAAATCTTTTGATTTATCTCACAACTCTGAGAGCTGTTTTCCAGTGGGCCATTTTCCATTGGCTTAGAAACTAACTCAAAACTTGCACAGAATAAGAGATATCTGGACGTGTGATTGTTAAGTATAACAAACGATCAATTAATCTTCTATACTCTTTTGGATTAGCGAGTTTGGGTCCTTCCTCCTTATTAAGCTTCAAATTTTGTTCCATTGAAAATTGAAAAGATTTGGCTCTAATTAACCCACAATCTTGTAAGATTTCCAATGCATATTTTTCTTTGGCATATGGAAATCCCTTTGGAACAGAGGGCTATCTATATCCCCCAAAAAATTTCAACCTTCCAAGGTCTTTTAATTTGAAATGTTTGCCTAGATACTCTTTCAAGTTTTGAATTTTGGTCTCATTGTCTCCCCTTATTACCATATCATCAACATAAACAAGCATGGTGTGAAAGAGGTGTTCGTCTTTTTGAAGAACAATGAGTAGTCCGCTTTGGATTGTGTGAACCCAATTTTGGTGATGACCGAAGTTAACTTGTGATTCCATTGCCTTGAAGCTTGTTTCAAGCCATAGAAGGACTTTTTTTAGCTTGCATACATGATTCTCCCCCTATCTACCATATCCCGATGGTAATGACATGTAAACTTCCTCTTCTAAGTCACCATAGATGAAGGCATTATTGACATCAAGATGGTAGAGGGTCCAATTTTTGGATGCTACAACGGCCAATAGGCAACAGACTGTGGGCATTTTTGCAACATGGGAAAAAGTCTCGAAGTAATCCTCCCCCTTCTTCTTTGTATATCTCTTGGCTACAAGGCGTGCCTTGTGTCTCTTAATGGTACCATCTGCCTTGTATTTCATTCTAAACACCCATTTACATCCCATGATCTTTTTCCCTCTCGATGGTATGGTCAATTCCCTAGTGTTGTTTGCTCCAAGAGCTATTAGTTCAGTTTGCATAGCTGTTCTCCAGTGAGGCCACTGGTTGGCAGTGGGAAAAGAAGTGGGTTCGGGCTCTATGGTGATGGCTAAGCTGAAACTATGATGAGCAGGGGACATGTTATCATAATTTAGAATAGAGAAAATGGAACACAATTTACCTTCATCCATTTGTTGTGCAGTAGGAGAACCATGTGGTTTTGCTAGAGAACTCACAAGTCGACAATGGAAATCTTGAAGATAGCCAGGTTGCTATCTCTGTCTAGTGAATCTTCTCAGCTCAGGGACATTGTGTGCTGGTGCTGGGAAATTTATCTCGAGCCGTGGTGCGTCACTTTGGTTGTATTGCTATGTGGGTGGGTTAATTGCAGGGTGGTGTCACTGCTAGTATGAGCAGGTACTGCTGGTATTGGATCAGAATATTCTGATATAGGATTGGGTATTATGGGCAGGACATCAAGTCTTAAAAGAGGAGGTGTTTATAATAGTGGTGGTAGCTGGTGAAAAGGGAAGGTATTTTCATAGAAAACTACATCATGGCTAATAAAGGTTTCTTGAATCTTTAAGTCAAAGAGTTTGTAATCTTTAATGCCATTCGGGTATCCCATGAATAAACACCTACGAGCTCTTGGATCAAACTTGGATCGGTGGGGATTGAGATTTGACGCATAGCACAGACATCCTAGTCTTTAGGTGAGAATATGAAGGAATTTTGTAAAAATGATTTGATATGGGGATCGATTTTGGAGATTCAGAGAAGGGATTCTATTTATTAAATATGCTGCCGTGACACACATTCTCCCTGGAATTTTAAGGACAAATTGGCTTGATATCTAAGAGCTCTTGCTGCATTTAGCAAGTGTAAATGTTTCATCTCAACAATGGAGTTTTGTTGAGGAGTATAGATGCAAATTTGTTGGTGAATTACCCTCTATGAAGCAAAGAATTCTGTCGTTTGACATTCTTTTCCTTGATCGGATCTTATTCCTTTAATCTAACATTGAAATTGATATTCAACATCCCTCTTTGAAGCAAAGAATTCTGTCGTTTGAAATTCTTTTCCTTGATCGGATCTTATTCCTTTAATCTTACATTGAAATTGATTTTCAACAAAATTAAAAAAACTCTCTATGATTTGCCTTTTTTTGGCTTTTAATACATATGAGGTAAGTCCATGTCATTTGACTATGGTCATCAATAATTGTAAGAAAGTAGTGGACACCATTGAGTGAACTAACAAAGAAAGGACCCTAAATATCCATGAGTATTAGATCAAAAGTTGCATCAACAAATTTTTGACTCTTTGTAAAAGGCAAACGAGTTTGTCTTGCCATATGACAAGTTTCACATTGATGCTTGACAACAAAAGGAGGAATATTGGGCTCTATGCTATGTAACAAATTGAGGCATTGATCAGATGAGTGTCCTAATCGTAAATGCCACAATTCTGGTGTCAAAACAGATGAAGAGTTGGCCACGGGTTGGTTTGATGTTAGCTTGTCCATGAGCTGGTTTTTCTCTAAGAAATAAAGCCCTTATTTTTCTCTAGCAATTCCAATTGTCCTCCAACTGTTTTTTGAATGAATCGTTTTATTCCAAGGAGTTTATTTTATTCCAATAGTTTATATTCCACCAATGTACGATGGACTTGATAAGCTTATGAAATAGCACATGATGTACCTGATTCTGGATACTGATATACCTGCTTCTAGAGCATTAGCACCTGATTCTTGGTGCTGATGCACCTGAATTCTGGTGCTGGTGCATCAGTTCCTCAAGTTGGTGCATCATATTGAATGAATATTTTAAGAATGAATGGTTTTTGGATGAATTTTTTTTCAATGAATGGTTATTCGAAGTACATACATTATATCATAATATAAATAAAAATGAATGAAAAAAGAAAAGAAAAGAGGTGCAATGGAAGCTCATCCATTCAAGATGAAGCAGAAAATGTAGATGAGCATCCTCTAGTTAGGCATGGGAGGATACATACTTCTTCAGGTTTTGTTGACACTACTACCCAAAATATCGAAGAAGTTGATGTTAACCCACCATCAAGTCCTAGGCAACGTGATAGCCTTCATCATTTGCAGCACAATGGAAGTGACTTCCCTTCTGATGAAGTAACATTTTTTCTTGACATTTATGTATGTTAACTTTAAATGATCTTCTAGAAACTAAAATTGATCGTTTTATGCATTTAAAATATGATAAAATATGCTTCCTATGTACCTTTGTTTAAAGTGGGGTGGCATCTCATCCGAGGAACATGATGAAACAGTAATGCTTAAGGCTGCAATGTTCGGTGGCATTCCTAAAAGAAGCGGATATCATATCCCTTATGCACCTCATCAACTCCTGCAGAATGGTTTAGATAGACCTATGGATCCTTACCCGAGGCATATGCCTCGTCCTGCAGCGCATTCTCTTACAGCTCAACGATTGATATGGGAACATCAGGTTTGAATTATGTGCTTGTAGTAGAAATATATCAGTTTGTCCTTGATTTTAATCTATGATTCCATGCAGGATGATGAAGCTGATAAAGAGAAGGAATTGAAGGCACAGGAAGTACCTGAAGCTGTTCTTGTAGAAGAGAGGTGCAAGGAGGAGGAATTGCAAAGAAACTCTCCGTGCAGCATCCGCCAATTTTTTTTTCTTTTTTTCATTCATTTTTATTTATATTATTATATACTAATAAGTTGACAAGATGTTAGTTCCTCAAGGTGATAATGAAAACTTCAATTTTGTGGCTTCATAAAGGCGTGATTAGGGGTTCTGGTTTAGGTATTTTGATTTGGGTTAATAATATGAAGGCGTGTTTGTTTGGTTCTTTTTGGTGACTTGAACATAATTAATGCCATCAATACACCACATCGAATTTCTGTTATCCACGTGTAATTTTCCGTCTATGTGAAGAGACGAGTGTTAAAAGAGTGGTGGATGGGTAACCATATGAAAAGATGGGCGAGTGTTGAATAACTCTTTAAAATTTAGTGAATAAGTAGTAACAATTTTAAAGTTAAATGATGATTGATTAAATTTACTCATTTTGAGGCAAACTTCATTTTTAGTCAATATGGTGATTGTAAGTTCGTTCATTTCACTTAAAGCACTACGTTACAAGCCGTTCGTAAAACTAAATGTTACACCTATATGGCCGATTAAATATGTGACATTTCCAATCTTGGCGTTAAATTGTTGAATTGGCTGGCACTGTGCAAATGACGAGGTAAAAGAAAAGAAGAAAGACGTCAACCCTACCAAAAACGGCATCTCACCAGAGTCAATCCTCCAAAATAAAAACCGATCCGACTTAATGAAATTAAGTTTTGCCCCTAACTTGGCTTGGTTTCTAGAAATTTAAAGAGGAATATGTTTAGCATGTGACAATTATACAAGAATTTGGATGGTTTGTGTCATTGAAGACAGATTGTGTGCAACTATAGTGAAAAGATACGGACCAACTTGCTTTTTTATAAAGGTTGAGATTGTTACTTGCAATATATTGTAGACCTATGTTGTGAATGATACAATAATAAAAAAAAAAAAACCATCATTTTCTAGAAAGCTAGTCTTTTCCTATTTGGTCAAGGGAGTCCACTCTCTTCCGTATCAAGCCTAACCTACTTTCGTAAAGTCAACAAAATGAAAATAAAAAAGAAAGTAGAGGTAGATCCTGCAAAGATCCTAGCAGCGTATATTTTGATTCAGGTGCGAAAACTGCTTCTTATCTATGTAGGATATTCATAAACAAGCCCAAAACTACAAAAGTAAAAATTTTCAGATTATCCAATTCTCTTAAACTGGATATGAATAAAACTGCTTCTTATCTATGTAGGATATTCATAAACAAGCCCAAAACTACAAAAGTAAAAATATTCAGATTATCCAATTCTCTTAATCTGGATATGAAGTAAAGATATGCATTTCACTCATGGAAAGCTTAATTTATTGTCTTCGAGCAGTATTATGAACAAAAATGCCAAAAACTATATCCTAACATCAGCAAATTGAAGATAAATACTCAGTATAGGGAATTCTTCCTCTGACAAATACGCCTCCGTTGCTCAACATGTTAACACCATCATCGGCACAAAACTACTGGTCCAACTCCTTGCGCTGCCAATAACCAAAAAAGCACTAAGGAAGCCTGAGACACATGAGTCGATCTCTAGAGAAAACGTTGAGTTGAGCTCTTAGACGACAAAACACACCAAAAAACAAGTGGCAGTTCCCTCGTGTTTACAATTTCTTAATAGCACTGTGCATGATAGAACTAGAAATTATTTGCATAAAAGCCAGGACAATCTTGGCAATGGCTCTAGTGCAGCGGGGATAAACTGGAAAGGGCCTCAAAGTTGAGCGAGGAGAATGAAGGGGGGCATTGGCAAAGTTGAACCTTTTGTGATGGCTTCTTTGGCCAATCTCACTGGAGAAAGAATCGAACATGAAGCTGAAGCCGCGGAAATGCAAGTCGAATACTAGATTTCAAAATTCACTTGTGCATATGTGGTCCATTTGCAGACACAGAATGGGAGAGAAAGCAAAATGCAACTCCTACTTGATAGCTAGTTTCCCCTTCAAGATCTGTGTGTCGGAAGATACTGGCACTTGTTCAAATTTATAACTCGGCTGGCCTCTTTGGCATTGTACATTGCCCTGTTGAAAATCATGCTTACTATTTGTATAAATAATGACTATATATGAAGAGAAAAGTTAAGGTAATGTGTAAATGTAATTTACTGTCAATCTTATTTCATCGCAGGACAAAGCATCTGGCTGATGTGAGTATTTCACGAATGGATGTTCAAGTAACATTCTTGCTGTTGGCCTGTCGGTTGGCTTTCTGCGAAAGCAGCAATGCAAGAACTCCTTGCCATCAGCTGACATCGTTTCAGGTATAGGTGGAGTATCTTTAAGAACCTTGAATAACGCCGCAGCCTGAAATAGGTATTTTGGTTTAAAAAAAAAATCCACAAATATGCTCAACTAAACGAACAAAATGAAGTGGAGGAATAAGTCATAGCACAAATTAAATTTCCATGCTGAATTCAAAAGATTTTTCAATAACTAAAATTAAAAGTAGATTGGTATAGGGAAAAAAGCTAACTTTAAGAAACTGTAACAGAAGTGACACAACTTCTTCTATCATATCGATACGTATAGTAGCAAAGCCATTTTCTACAACAACTTCTATCATATGATTCATCAAGTTCAACTAAACTCAGACAAGACACTCACAAGATGCATACAATTTTGGGTAATATAGTGTCGAGAGCTCAGAAAGGTAAATCTGAAAATGTTAAGAGAAAGGTGACATGTTCATGCTCATTGAAGGAAAGAAAAAGATGAGGAAACTTGTTGACACTCGCATGTTACTAGTATTTTGAGATCCTTGACTAGGAAATGATCCATTCAAGATGAAGTGCATTCAAGCTTTGGGTAACTGAAAATGTATATATGTTGAATTGAAAGATAAAAACTTCTCTGGAGTAATTAAATTACTGAGCATCATTAGATAAGTCCAGTAGATTCATAAAGTAATCAATCAAATTAGGATCGACTAATGATTCAGTTTATTAAAGTTCGTTAAAGATTGGCTTGCAATGAAACAAGTTTGAACTTGGGACATCCAATGAGCATGTGGACCTACATCAGTGCTTACCCCTTCATATTCACTCCAAGGAGGCTTTCCATTGAACATTTCGATTATAGTACAGCCTAGACTCCATATATCAACTGCTAAAGCAAGATCAGAACTAGCATCTACCTGCATCACAGACTGCAAGAGCTGAAAGAAAAATGAAATCTATATATCAGTATGGTTAGCTAATGGTCAATAGGATAAATACCTTAGCTTGCAACAAATATTTACCTCAGGAGCCATCCAATACGGACTCCCCTTTAATGAAAGATTAGCTGCGTATCCAGTCAGCTGCAAATCAAGATGAAAAACTCAACTTCAAAAATGTTAAGAGTAGAAGTTGTGCAATAATTATGACCAACCATGAAATAACAGAGCAGCACTGATCATGTAGAATACGCATTCAGATATTTGGTCGGTGTGTTTGTTTTCAACGCTATAAAAAAAAAGAAGAAATTTCCCCACTCATTCTCACATATTTTTGAACTGTAAATGAGTGGGTTGATTAAGCAGAGAAGCAACTGCCAGGTCATAGAATAACAAGCTTTTCTCATTTTGGGTTGGCTCATGCACCAAAAACTTCTTGTTTATAATAAAGGAACAATAGTTCACCTAAATTAACATCAATCCCCATCTTGCCGACTCTTTAATCATTGTAAAAAATGTAGAAGCTAAGACCCAATCAAAATGAAGTCAAGAAAATAATGGTTCTCTTTTGCAGAGACCAACTTATATACTTTGCATTTTGTTGACAGATATTTAGGGCTCGTTTGATTCTTATTCTCATTCTAGAATAATGAGAATCAAACGGGGTGATAATCAGATTTAGTGCTTCCATGATTTGGTAGAGAGAGAGAGAGAGAGAGAGATCCCAAATGAATATAATTAGCAGACAGTCTTAATATTGGATTTCACTAATATAACATAAACTACTCCTATTATAACCAAAAACCAATTTCAAAAACAAGTTCCACTATAGAGTACCCATTACCTCATCAGATAAACTGGTGATCAACAATTAGTTATAGCAGATACAGGTCTTCTTTTATGTTATAACAGTTATAGCAGATACATAATAGTTCATTTTTTTCGTCAAAAATACTGAATTTGGAGAAATCAGAAGTTACATGTTTTGCCATCCCAAAGTCGGCAAGCTTGACGACTCCATTTGCATCAACAAGCAAATTAGCACCTTTGATGTCCCTATAAAATTCAATGATCACCACACCTGGTCAGAACAAAAATGATCTTCCATGTAAACTTCTAGATAATAAAATAATCCACCCTCAAGTTAAAAAAGATAATCCTCCCATCCATCCATGGTCCATTGGAAGATTTAAAATATGATTAGTTGACAAACTTTTGACTCAATGATCTTCCCTTTAGGATTCCTTACATTATATAGAAAGAGTATTATCTTATATAACTATGATATCAATCTAAATATAATAGATGTAATCAACTCAAATATGGTAAATACAATTATATACAAAATTATGTTACATCATAATCTTCGTGATCTTCATCAATCTCCATAATTTCTGTCAATGTCATTGACATCCCCTCAAATTGACGGTGGATGATCAACAAGCATAAATTTGTGACAAGTAACTAGTGTCACTAACAAAAGAACTCAAAGGCCCAACTCCAAAAATAAGTCAATAATCCGGAGAATTATGGTAATTATGTAGTCCAAGTAATGCAGCCTAATGTTCAGGCCAAATCACGAAGCTCCCAGATTCTAAATAAAGCAATCTAAAAATACCGCGGCCCAATAATTAGTCCAAACAGCCCAATTAAGAACAAATATTACAGCCCAATACACTAAGCTAGCCTAAAATAATGAAGCCCAATTAAAAAAAAAAAAAAACTGCAGCCCAATACACTTTCATGCCAAGATGATACTCCTGATCAGCAGGAAGAAATCACCCCCTTAGTAAATTCCATGCCTAGCTCCAGTTGATTTTCAAGAAATCGAACGGCCATGTGTCTGCTGCAGTACGATATCTAGGATGCAGTTTCCTCACCACTAATGCTACTCAAACAGGGCTATTCACAGGGAAATTAAACAAGTGCTGAGGTGGATGCACCTCAGCCCTTGATTTTAATTGTTGCAATTCAAATAAAGCTAAGGTGCATCCACCTCAACCCCTGTTTAAAGCCTTATCAATAGCCCCTGTTTGAGTAGCAGAGCTCGTTTGCTCACATTCGATGTAGGCTTACCTGGCCATAGTAGGCTTTCGACAAGATCGAGTATTCGAGCAGATAGGAATGAGATATAAAGGATTAACAACCGGTTCTGTTACTCAGGCGATGGAAAGATCTATAATAAATTTTGTGGTGAAGTGATTAATAAGACAATTCAAAGCCAACGCCACTTCTGCACGCCTACATGGTCAAATCCCACTTGCACAAATCAGAATTTGTAGATATGTAAAGGGGTCTTAACATTTAATGCCTTGATTGATTGATTGATGCATATAACAAGAAGGGCCGATCGATTTTGATGAAGCCACGTGTCCTATTATCCGACGGACCTTGTTTCTCCTATCCAATTATAAAAGCCCATACTTAGTACCATTCAAGGTTAATGCAAGTTTAGACTCTCAAGCGTGTACTCTTGGTACATAAACTCTCAATATTCTACTCCTGAACCAACCCCCCTTTTTCGATTAGAGGTTCACGTTCTAGGCTCTCCCGCACCATAAATTACTTTTCTAGGTTGGTTCAACTGTTCAACTAATGACTGGTCCAAGTGTGTTAGGATTCAGCTGATACGTAACGAAGAGGTTTCGTTTGGTAATTATATTTTTGAAGTGCCTCTTCTTTGCGGGTAGCTCGTAAATAGCCCACTCTGAGGATTCAAGCTCGAACCCATTAACTGTAGCGACACAAAAGTGCACATCAGATACGATGAATCCAAGGCAATGGTATAAAGTAAACATAGTTGTGACTAGGGCTAAACTCACTATCCTCATGATATTTGGTTGACACGGTTATCTCTGAAGCCGCATCTCCTTCCATCGTCTGCCACCAACCCCTAACCCAAAACCAAGATGACTTCCAGTTCTTGATAGAGGTCGGAGTCCCCAAAATAAAGGGAGAATGCGAACCCTAGGGATTCATGCAATACCACCCCTTACAGTCGCTCCCTCCACTCGAGGTAGGAAGAAAACATGAGGAGGCATATCCTCGCCAATGGTGACATCCTTCAAAAGGAGGAAGACCCATGTTAATTGGCTCCATGCATTGGGTATCAGTTGGGTACGGGCCAAGTTATACTGCCTAAGAATAAATCTGAAGAAGGGGTGCAAGGGTAGCCTCATCCCCCGGCTAGAATGACCTCGCTTACTGCCACACACCTCTCTCTAGGAAAGCAGACCCTCTCCTCTGGGGTTGGTACAAACATTTTTACATTATCTGGGATCCTATACCTCTTCCGGAAGGTCTCTAACTCACCCTCTTTTATATCAATCGGCCACAGGGAAGCCCCCATCTAATGCTATAATCTATGGGCCCTCCTGCATCATCCATGCACTATGGGGTCCCCTTATCGCCTCCATGATCCTTTCGATAGGAATCACAGGAGGAATATCCGCCTTGGCGCAACTTAATGCCATGTTCACCCTAAAAGACCCCTCAAAGATGTTCTTTTTTGAGGAAGAAGCCATCTAACTTGACAGTTGAAGAAAATGCCTTGATAATGATAAATACTTACACAAGATCTAAGGCCCAAGATCTGGAATGTAGAGAAAATGAGAAGGAACGGAGTTGATCGTCGGACGCAGCACGAAAAATGCTAAGGAAAGTAGTAATACTCTTCGCAATAAAGGGTTTGAAGTTTTCGCAAAGTGAAGAAAAAGGGAAAAATGTAGGTTTTCAGCCTTATATATGTGTAATGAACGAACCCTCACTGTTGGATCTTCCTCCACTTTAATCTGGGCCATCCACCTGTAATCCCACCTGCCATGTTAACTTCAAAGGGCGCTTGATCAAAATTCAAACCAAGGGCCCAGATGAAGTCGTGCTGAACACGTCTTACAAACTCATGTAGGCCTGCCAGATGTCATGTACCATCATCATTGCGCATTGAATGAGCACATAGCTCGAGCCTAGGAAACTGCTGCGCCATCCAGCTATCCTCATTGGAAATCAACACACCTCTCACATCATTATGGCACGCCACCTGGCAACATCCAATGGCCTCGCCTAACAGTTGTGCAGCCTTACTATAGGCTCCTGCTTTAAAGAGGCTCGGTAGATTCTCCAACAGCCTCAACTAACAGTTGTGCGGCCTTACTATAGGCTCCTGCTTTGAAGAGGCTCGGTAAATTCTCAAATGGCCTCGCCTAACAGTTATCCTAACAGTTATGCAGCCTTACTATAGGCTCACGCTTTAAAGAGGCTCGGTAAATTCTCCAATGGCCTCGCCTAACAGTTGTGCAGCCTTATCACAAGCTTCAGCTCCTAAAAGAGGATCGGTAGATTCTCCAATGGCCTCGCCTAACAAGTTGTGCAGCCTTACTATGGGCTCTAGCTTTAAAGAGGCTCGCTAGATTCTCCAATGCCCTCACCTACACTCTTCAGCCTTATTACAGTGTTCAACTACCGAATAGACTCACCTTTTACTTTCAGAACCTCGTCATATAACCCTCAAACCCGTTGCTAGTTTCAATCAACGAACTCTTCTTCTTTCTTAGCTAGAAAGTCCACGCATTATATAAATAATCACACTTGGACTTCGAGGACTGTTGTTACTCATATAAATAATTGCCCCTACGTGGCGAACGGATTTGAGAGCCCCTACCTTAAGTGGCAACACAGAAGACCTTGTTATAAGTAGGGAGACGACCTCTTTCATATGATGCGAAAGTGGACAGACCCCATTTGGACAGAAGCCTTTATAGGAGCCGGTTCTAGCGAGGTGATGGCAAGATCCATAACAGATCTTGTGGTGAAGTGATCGATAAGACAATTTAAAGCCAACGCCGCCTCTGCACGCCTACATGGTCAAATCCCACTCGCATAAATCAGGATTTGTAGATACAGAAGGGGTCTTAGTATTTAATGCCCTGACTGATTGATTGATTGATGCATATGACAAGAAGGCCCGATCGATTTTGATGAAGCCACGTGTCCTATTATTCGACGGACCTTGTTTCTCCTACCCAAGTATAAAAGCCCACACTTAGTACTATTCAAGGTTAATGCAAGTTTAGACTCTCAAACTTGTACTCCTGGTACATAAACTCTCAGTATTCTATTCCCGAACCGACCCCCTTTTTTCAATTGGAAGTTCACGTTCTAGGCTCTCCCACACCCTAAATTACTCTTCTAGGTTGGTTCAACCGTTTAACTACTGACTGGTCCAAGTATGTTAGGATTCAACTTACGTGGACGCAAGAGGTTTTGATTATCCGTTGGCCATACCATTGATACAATTTTTGGGGTCAACAGGTTTCACACAAAGCATTCCATGATTATGATCATCACCAATATGAGATTCCAGTTCTTGAAGTTCCCTTTCATATGGCGCTACATTTGAACTTTTTTTTAAGTGATGATTTTTGTGGATTTTTTATAAATTTGTATGGAATTAGTGGAAATCTTTAGTAGACTTTTACAAATTTTCATTTTAAAGCTTTTATATACTTACGTAAAATTTAAAAGACTTTTGAAAATTTTCATTTGAAATAGAATTCATGTGAATCAAGTGCAATAGCATGTAGTTATCACATACGATGTGATGGTTCCCATAATTCCCCTTCTCTTCCCCATATAATAAAAAAATATTTTAAAGGTAATAAATATTTGAGAACTTAATTAAATAAATAAAAATAATAATTATACATATAAAAAATAAATTTAATATTAATATAATATACTTTCAAAGAATAAATAAAAGAATATATATTTAAATTTATTTATAAATTTGTCTACATAAAATTTTATAATTTAATTAAAAATAGATATTTTTCACAAAAAATGAATGAAAAAAGTTATAAGAATACAATTTAATTTTTATTTTCATAGAAAATAGAAATAAATGATAAGAGAGAAAAAGAAAAATAGAAACTAATATAATCAATAGAAAAAAATAAATTTTAATCATAACTCTAATGTTCATAGTAGGAAAAATGAAATAGAATATAGAAAAAATACATATTAATTTTTTTTTTTTTCGTTTTGTGAAAGTCTCCCAAAATCTTGTGATTAATGAGAGACAAATTTTGAAATTTTATTTTAGTACTTCCTGCTTAAAAATTAGTACAATAAAGACTTTTACAAAAGTCTCTAAAAGTCATTAAAATTTGAATATCCCAAAACTTATAGAGACTCTAAAAAGTTTTCATTGAATACACTGTCACTTTTTAGAGATTTTTTAAAAGTCTATAAAAGTCCCAATTAAATACACCAATATTTTTAGAGAGTTTCCAAAAATCTATATTGAATATCTCTAAACTTTTTAAATCCGAAAAAGTCATTAAAAGTCTCAATTGAATACATCCCTCAAGCTTCCAGAGTAGAATTCTCATCCTGTAGCTCCTTTTTCTCCATGCTCACCTCATTCTATTTCTCAAAAAATTTTAATAAATTACACTACACAACACATTGGAAACCAAACTTTATTTACAAGATCAAAATCAATTTAGTGATCGGAAAATCATAGGAATTTGAAATTCTAAAAATCTCAAAGATTTGGTCAACTATTGGGCTGCTGGTTATTCTCTTGCATCTCCAAATTTCTCAAATCCGGTGCTAAAAATCTTGACTTATTTTTATTCAACCATAAAAACGTAACTGATTCAAGAAACCAAACATTTTTTTTTTCATTCAATTCGAAGTTGACAAATGGCCCAGTTCTCAATGTACTGTAAAGCCATACATTGACAAAAAATTATGTCAACCGTCGATTAGAGTTACACGTTGACAAAAATTCTTTTAACCGTGGACCACCGCAAGAAATCCACACTTGAGAGACTGAATGATGCCCAAAGAAAACCAAGGATTCAGGATAAAGTCCACGAGATAAGTTTTGATACCAAGACAAACTTTTGACTGAATGATATTTCCATGAGGGATTCCTTACATTTTATAGGAAGAGTGTTACTCTATATAACTACGATATCTATTTATATATAGTAGATAATCAACCGAAATAAGGTAAATAGAATTATATACATAATTATGTTAAATCATAATCTTTGTGATCTTCGTCAATCTCTATGATCTCTGTTGATCTCATTGACATTATTATCTTCTAAATTAATTCACGGGAAGATTCTATTGAAGCTTCATGTTTCAGAACATGTCAACATTACCTGTGTATGGTTTTTGTACTGTGCAAATAAGCCAATCCACAGAGAATATGACGAGTGAAATTTCGTACAACAGATTCTGTAATTGCTCCACAATGATCATGGATAAATTTATTGATTGAACCAGGATGGACATATTCCAGGTATATGTAAAACCTGTCACCAACCTGCATAACCATAAAGTAAGAGTCTCATTAGAGCATATATGCAGAGAGATGCTTCAACACTTCTCTGAGCTCCATGAAGAAAATTACTTACTATTTCACTACCATAATACTGCACAATATTCTGGTGCTTTAGACGACTGAGTACTTCAATTTCCTGCTAAAAACTAAAACCAATAAGTGCAAGTTCCTACTGATAAATGTTAAAAAATAAAAATAAAAATACAAAAGACTCCAAAATCCCAGAGAAAAGAATATGCAAGAATTTGCAGACGAGAAACATTCAGTGGGAAACGTGTAAAGCTCACTAAACATAAGATACTCAAATAGAAAATCCGAAACAACTGTATCAGGTCAGTTAACCATCATTAGGACAAGCTTTTTAGCACTGACCACGAGAATACAACCGTACTAGAGCTCCCAAACATCTAACATACTGGGAAAAAATATCTACTTCAAGAGAATTCTTAATCTAGATCATCCTGTTATACATTTTTATTACCAAATACAATGAAGAAAAAGAAATTCAGAAAAGATGACCTCTAAGTTTTTTCCTAAATGAGATCCTTTAATACATATTATTTTATTTAAACTTCATGCAAAGAAATGAAAATCAGTCCAGAGCTTCAGACATCTGTATTATGCAGAGTCAAAGCCTATTAAACAAAGCTGCCCACTGCCCCAAAAATCAAAGAAGAATAAATATGCATTTTATGGAATTTGGCGAGTGGTACAAATGTTTTACAGCTACTTCATTTTTAACTGCATTCATGTAAAGTCCATTACAGTAGGGAAAATACCTTCAACATCCAATAATATCTCAGATTTGCAAACTTAGAAAAAGGTTCACTAGTCAGCATGTTTTTTTTTTTTGGTTTTGATGATCAGGGATGCTGTAAAATAAAATACCAAAAAATAACAGATATAAGTGGAACAACCTGCTCCAACTGCCTTACACACTCTGCAGATTTTGGATCATCTGGTAAAATTTCAACTTCTTTCATGGCACACAAGGCTCCAGTCACTCTGTAGACAATAACGATTCTACTTTATAATACCAAATGGAATCTAATAAAAAGTAATTAAGTTGAACTTGCATACCTGTTGGAAGCTATATACACACTTCCAAATGTCCCGCGCCCAATAAGCTTTCCTTTTTGCCATTGCCCTTTAATCAGCATCAATTCCGGTTTAGCTGCGACCAGGGAAATTGAAGTAGGTTGCAAAGGCATGGCAGTTGCCGAAAACTCAGGTTTAGCTGTGAGTGGGAACATTGTTGAAGCAGTTTGTGAAGGCATGGAAGTTACATGAAATTCAGGTTTAGCTGTGAGTGGGGACATTGGAGTGGGATGTGAAGGTATAGCAGTTTCATGAAGTTCAGGTTTAGCTGCAACTGGAAAACTAGGAGTGACTCCTGGAGGAAGAGGCAATGGATGTAAATTAGCCTGAGCATTACTTTCACGCCATGCCGATGAGGTCTCTGGTGATATTTTGTTATACAATGGTGTTGCAGGCTTATTAGGGCTTATTGCTAGCTGAAAAGAACTAGCTCTTGGACTGTGGAGAGGAGAATTATCAACATTAGATGATGTTTTCTCAGGAGGCAATTGATACGATAACCTTGTACCAAGATGTGTATCTAAATGAGGCATCTCTGGTGCAGACCAAACTTGGAAAGCACCTGGGGGAGTGGTGTAATGAGTTACCAAGAAATCACCTGAATTTCTTGTAGGGCTCAGATGAGGAAACGAATAAGGACTGCTCGGAGCACTAATAGGAAAACTAGTTTTGTCGATATCAGAGGACATTTCCATGTCATTTTGCTTTATAGTTGATTTATTAGATGACCATGATTCACAATTTTCTGAATTCCTTCTAACATGTTTGCCTGCTAATCTGCTGCACAGGGGATTAAATGAACACACAAAAGATAATCAATTAAGAGAAACAACCTCATTTAAAACCAGTTATAACATTGGGATTGACCGACAGAAGTGCAAAAATATAACAAAAATCAGGCGAAAATGTTCGAAATTCATGGAAATTAAACAAATACAAGTAATTACATTAAGATTATAAACTGAGATTCTCGACTAAACAATCAACTTTTTATTTAAATACAAATATATACCAAAATGTGTAAATCATCTCTCTTTTAAAAATTTACAAAAGGCTCAATTTATTAAACATATAATCGGCAATAATTATAAATTGCAATCAGTATAAAATTGCTTTTAGCTTTCCATACCTCTTAGGCACGTTGAGTTCATCAATAGCATAGGCATTCAATTGATTGGCTCTCTCTCTTTCTCGGTTCCTCTTTTCATTATCTCCTCTATGAACAATAATGTATGCTTCCATAGGCGACGGTAAGGGTACATTATAGGATTGACAAGAGGAATCAAATTTGGCGTCATGCTCTATAAAAGCACGAACTTCGGGCAGCGGCAGCGGCTGAGGGCTCGGCTGAGCTGCCGCCATTGGCACGAATGACGACCTTGCCGGAGAATTCTCATCATTATCAATCAAATTCTGCAGCTTACCGGCACGGCTACGCCGCGAAAACAAGCTCGTTTTCAATGGGGATCTATGAAGGGGAAATAAATTTAATATAAAATTCTTAATAAAGTTAATCACATGACCAACTTTCACCCTCCAAAATCAATATGATTTCTAAAATTCATATTCTCAAACAACCCCCAACGTGTTTAAATACAAAAAAACATAATTAATATATAACAATGTATGCTACTCTTTTCACAAAATGACGTTTCAAAATGGAATTCGATACAAATGATAATAGTTTTTCAGAACGGTAATGGGAATGTGACCATAAGAAAGAAAATCAAAGGAGATAATAATTTAATATTGTTAAAATAGGAAAAATATAATCAACGTATAACAATTTATGCTTCTGGTTAACAAATTGACATAGAACCCGAAACTCGATACCTTCCGCCTCCGCCATCGACCAAGCTGTCGTCCGCATGTGATTTCATGCCTCGCCACCAATGCATGATTACAAAATGCTAGTCCTTATAATGCTTTTGACAATGGTTTTGTATGAGGAATTTGAAAATCTAACAGTCGGCATGGTTGATGAAGAAGAAAACCCTGGAGAATGTCTGGGATGATAAACGATCAACAATTCGCCAATTCTAACAGATTTTTTCTGGTATTTAGTAACTGGAGCCTCACAGTCCAAATTTAATTGTCGAACCAGTTCTGTCCATAATTAATTTTTTTAATATTTAGCATTAATTCTACTAATACAAATAATAAATTGTCTATTAAATTTATTCACCAATATATACAAATTATCAAAATGTAATAATAAAATATTGGTAATTTCGTCCCATTAATTTGCTTCAAGCTTCAAATAAAAATAAAATAAAATAAAATCATATTTTATGTATGAACTAAATTAATTAGTTAGCAAATGAAATAGAAAAATGATATTTTTTGGCTCAATTAATTAGTTGGCAAATCTATTTAGAAATATTTCAAATAATCCAGCTTATTTAATATAAAAAATTATGGAAATTTGATTCTTATTCGATTCTTGATATAGAATCGAAAATCGAATCAAACCCGTTGGTTTTTGATTCAAATACTCATTCGACTATTTAGCTTAAGAAGAACTGGTCGATTCGATTTAATTAGAGTCCGATTCGAGTCGAAAGTTTTGTCCAACTCTATTGAAAATTGCCAATCCCTTAAAATAGGTATGTTTTAAACTATTTATAAACTTAACCGTAAGGTTTGAGATATTATGATTAGATCCCTAAGTCCATCTATTATTTTCATGGTTGATTTTAAGTTCCAATATGCTTTGATTTTTATTAATTCAAATACGAACAAAATTACAGTTGCAATAATTTAAATTTGATGAATTGATTTTAATATTTAACTCATATTATAAATAAAATTTCGTTACTATGAAAGTGTTTCCTCTCATCCATGTTTGTTCCCATCATCTATTTGACTAGAGATGGCAACGGAGCGGGTTTGGGGCGGGACACCTCCGCTCTATCCTGTCCTGTTTATGTTTTTTTTTTTTTTTTTTTCTCAAAAACTTGCAATTAACTATTTTTTGTTTTTAATTTGTAGAAAAATATTTTTTTCATTCTTCACGGGGCGGGGCGGGACGAGTTTTTTTTGCTATCACTATATTTGACAAGTATTTCACTAGCTAAGATCCATGATTCATCCCTTGGCAATGGTACTCAGCTAGCCATTTTGAAGATTGGTTGCACATAAAGGGGGACATGGTGAAATCTGAAGGGCTCCTTCGTGAGGATCACTTCTAGAGTTGGACTGAGTCAAGTTTCATTGGATATCTTTCTTGCGGAGATGGTGCCAAGTACGATCGGACGATTGATGTGGACCACAATTGCCATAGCTTGGTTGATCAGTTGAGCTCAAGCCGAAGTATTTGTGCTCAACTGTTGATAGAGAGCAGACAATACGTCTACAATCTATCGCTCAGTCGAGTGCAAGCCCCCCCCCCCCCGGCCAAGTTTGGCCGATTTGGTTTAGATTTTGGGCACATGGTGTCCTAGCCTAACACCTTAGTTGAGTCCCCGACGAGGGCGATTGGGCCTTATCTGTGAGTTGGTGATGCAGATTCGTTACTTTTATCAAGAGAGTCCACTAGTGAGGATCATTTCAAAAATCGCCTATCATCAATCTCCTTTACTAATCCTTTATTTATCTTGATCTTCTTAATCATCTACTCATTTTTTGTTAGTGTTCCATTATTGTAATACATCCATGTAAATAGATAGTAAAAACTCTATATAGCTGATCATTTGAACATGCTTTAAGCCATGCGACTAATCAACTAATCGTGTGGTAACGAGTCTCGATTGCTTATATTTTCTTTGATTACATTCTTGTGCATTGGAAAAGAGATCCAATACCTTTAATTACAAAGTAAAAAGCCCTTTTATTCACTTATATAACTATCTGGTTTGGTTCATCAACTCGAATGGCTAATGGAAAAAAAATAAATTATATTCAACTCATTTACACATATCGATAATATACATCGAGTAAGTGGCAGCCATAAAGCTGCAAATCTTAAACATGAAAATGAATATTTATTGCCCATCTAATCTATTTTACAAAGTTAGTAATCCGAGAGAAACATAGTTGTATCAAGATTTGATTTTGATTGCCCATTTATTACTCTTTTTTTTTTTTGTTCAAAAGAAAAAACATTAAAACTTCAGAAAGTCAGTGCCACAGCACCGGAAGTGGATGCTGCAGCGTCGGGCAGCTACTGCCCAAAGACCGCGCTACAATTCAGATTTTCATCCCATCAAAATTCAATTACTCACACAACCCTTAATTATTCAACATAAGTCATGGCAGCTACACAACATGGTATCCCACTAAAATTAATCCATTCAATATTTCTATTTTATTTTCTCTTACCCTAAGGCTGTGTTTGACAGCATATCTTTTCCATGGAAAATTCCATTTTCTTGCTTTTGGCCTGTTTGATAGCCACTTTTTTCCAAGAAATTTTTTTCCTAGCGGCCACCCCACGCGCCCATTTTCTCTTTTTTTTTGGCTGAAAAGATTTTCCCACATTTTTGTGGGAAAACTATTTTCCAAGTTGCTGATTTTTTTTTTTTTTTTGG